TTGTTATGGTTGCTATGGACGCCAAACACACCATGCATTGTCGCTTTCTCAATCTCTTCTTCATGTCCGAACAAACGCTCAATTTTGCCTTCATTAACACAAATTATACATCAAAATGTAGGTATTTTTCTTGCCTTTAACAAAATGGCACTGTCATTATTGTAGGAGTTGCCGTTTTCTCGCAAATGGCCTCGAAACAACACAGTTAAAAAATGTCCACATTCAAAGTCTATGGAGACTTGAGTGAAAATGACAGCTGAAATTCTGTAACAGAGGCGTTTTCAACTCCTCATATCTCCTAGATGTATTTTTCTTTAGAGACCTGAAAACCGCCTTGATTTTTTTTTCCTTTTTTATTAAAGCCTGCTGATTGTTACAGTGAAAGAATGATGTCGACAGTCCGTGTACTTTTGGAGTTACAGAACATTTTGTAAGACGAAGAAACGGCAGTTTTCACCTCTCAGTTGTGGTAAACGCTTGAAATATATTATAGGGCAGGCCGCGGCGTAGAGAACGCGCTTTGGGAGCGAGAGACCCAGGTTGAAATCTAGCCAGTGGCAGTATCTAATATCGTTCCCTAATTCACTTTATAATTACAAATTCTCAACACTTGAACATTCCCACGTGTGTTCTGATCAAAACAGTGCAAGAATGAGCTCTTTAGCTTTTGATTTACAACTTATCCACATTTCTTTGCGGACACTCCTGCATGTCACAAATACATTGCACAAAGCGCATCTGTGGCTGTGTACCATTCGTGGTGCGTTGGCTCCCTCTACTGGTACGCGCCTCATTCAAATGTCGCCACACATTTAAAATTGCAGGGTGTCTTTACACTGTCATAGCTCCTAGATAGATTTCTTCAGAGCTGAAAATCGCTGTGATTATTCACCATAGCCTGCTTTGTCTTACAGTGAAAGAACAATGTCAACGTATAGCATCGTTGGTTACTTTAATTATGTTTGTTTTTTTAAATCAAATCCTACAAAACAGGACCATTGTGACACAAAACCTCTCACACACTAACACAAACTCTTTATACAGATACAGAGCTTTACATGTATAAATAAGGCAGACAAAAATGCATAAAACACAAGCTATCCACAGACTGTCGGTGGACGCCATGTCACTTTATTTTGTTTTTATCTTGTTTCTTTTTGGTGTAGCCTCATTAAACAAAATGTTTATAAAAATGACCACTTTTATTATGAATTATTAGGAAATTAATAATTCATTATTAATTATTTATTATGAACACACCTGCCACCCTCAAGTAGAGGTGGCAGAGAGGAGGCACTTGGAGTTTCGGTCGAGAAAGTGTCCGTGTGACTGAGTCCTGTCCCAGCTCTGCTTCAAGGTCTGTCGGTCCAGCTTGTTGAGGGTCTGAGAGCAAAGACGGATATCCTGGACCAGCTCTGACAAACTGTCCAGGTCTTGACTCTCCCAGGGGCCAGAGACCTGACAACCTGCAGGTTAAGCAACAAAGAATCATTTTATTTCATATCCATAATTTCCATTTTCCCCCCTATAAATATTTGACATCCAAATGTAGCCTGTTAGCTAGCGTTCAGCAATGTTTTCTGCTCCATAAAATGGAAAATTAATTCACAGCTAATCTTTTTTTTAAATCTTTAAACCACACTTCTATATTGTAATGTCTGTGTGTGTAATCATCATGTAACACCTCTGTGCATACATACTAAATGTTCAAACTTAGAAATGCGTCAAAAGGAAACGCACTGATAGCAAGAAAGAAACTGTTGCCAAGTACAACTTTGCACAGGTGATAAAAACATCAAAGAAATCCAAATTGTGAATTAGTGTGAAACGGTGAATCTAAGAATAGCTTTAGAAAAAAAAAGGAACTCCATGGAGTATCTCCAAGTTCAGACATACCTTCGAGGTTTAGAAGTGTCAGTGGTCGACGGGCCTCTCTGACAGACGCCAGGATGTTGTGAAGTCCCACTGATGTAACAGACGGATTTCCTGACAGATTCAACAACAACAACAACAATCTTTATTTATAGAGCACATTAAAAGCCAGGGGCATGCCAAAGTGCTTTACATGAAACAATAAAACAATAAAATGATTTACACTAAAACATCAGAATCATATAGGTATGGGATTATGTTCACAGGTAAAAACCACTAATAGGAACAGTCAATAGCACACAGCTGTAGCAAAGAAGAACTGTACCATCATACACAGTGATAGAGGACATAGGCAACGCAACAATAAAATAATAAAATAATTAAGACTATAACGTCAGAGTCATATAAGTGTGAGATTATGTTCACAGGTAAAAACCACTAATAAGAATAAACTATAGCACACAGCTAAAGCAGAGTAAAGCTGTAAAGCTGAACCATCAAACACAGTGATGGAAAACATTGACAGCACAGGACAACGCAAAACAACCAGACACATTAGAACATTAGGACAACTCACTAGAAGCAAGGCGAGAAAAAGTGGTAGAAAAAGCAATTTCAAACAGATATGTTTTAAGCCGTGATTTAAAAGATTGAATAGAATCAGACGCCCGGATGCCAATCGGGAGACTGTTCCACAGCTCAGGTGCAGCTAGAGCGAACGCTCGATCACCTCTAGACTTCAAGCGAGATCTGGGCTGAACCAACAATGACTGTGAGGAAGATCTTAAGGCCCTCGTAGGAAGATATGAATTTAAGAGTTCCTTAAGATAACTTGGCCCTGTGTTATTGGTAATTTTAAAAGTAAACAACAGAATTTTAAATTGAATACGAAATTTCACAGGCAACCAGTGCAGATCGGCAAGGACGGGAGTGATGTGATCAAACTTCCTAGTTTTAGTTAGAATGCGTGCAGCGGCATTCTGGACTGTCTGTAATCTATGTAAGAGGGTAGAGTGGAGACCATAATAAAGTGAATTACAGTAATCTAGTCGTGACGTAACAAAGGCATGGATAAGCTTTTCCAAGTCATTGTGCGGGATGTAATGTTTGGCCCTGGAAATAAGGCGAAGTTGGTAGAAACTAGATCTGACGACAGCAGATACTTGTTTGTCAAGTTTAAATGAGCTGTCAAGTAGCACACCCAGATTCCTAACAGTGTCAGGGAAAGAACTAGTGAGAAAACCAAAAGCATCATGAAGTTTGGCATGAAGAGCGTCACTGCCAAAGATCATAATTTCAGTTTTCTTATCGTTAAGGATAAGAAAATTTGCCAGAAGCCATTGCTTGACCTCACACATGCACTCTCGAAAGTTACTCACGGACATAGCTAGATCATCATTCAGCTCAAAATAGATCTGGATGTCATCGGCATAATAGTGAAAGGCAATGTGGTATTTCTCCAAAATGACACTTAAAGGAAGCATATACAGTGAGAACAGGGTAGGGCCTAGCACAGATCCCTGGGGAACACCACAGCAAACAGGTACAGCGGAGGAGGAGGAGGTAGCCAAGTGAACCGAAGAGAGCCGATCGGAGAGGTAAGATTTAAACCAATCCAAGGCAGTGCCCTTCAGACTCACCAGTGTGGGACACGACGAGAGGCACCTGTGAAATAATAAGAAAAAGTCCAACAGGCCAGTAAAGAGTGACAATTTAAACAAAGGCAAAGCCCCACTAACATGAGTAATAACTGAGCCGTAGAAATGACGCCCTCACACACACACACACACACACCTCGCCAAGGTAGCTACACTGCTGTCTGTCAGCCCATTTGCAGCCAGGCTGAGGTGGGTCAGAGAGCACTCGTCCTGCAAAAACACAAAAGTCTTAACCTGATTGCACAATTATATCTTTCGACAATAAATGACATTGCATGATTTTTGCGTGCACACCTGTGACAGAACTTTGGCGAGGTGTTCCAGTGCCGGGTAATCAGCAGGCCCTCTGCAGACAGCTGACAGGTCCACGTGTGTGAGGCAGTGGAGGGGCAGAGTCTTTAACACCAGCTCAAAGCCGGTGGAGCCCAGGGGATTGAGGGACAGGCACACTGCTTTCAAATGGCCTGTGCCTGAACGTTCAGAAGATGTAAAGTTAGTTGCAGTTTTGCTTATGGGTGGGAGTTCAGTGAAGCTTAAGGCTTCAGTCAGCTGCTTGTTAGAGAGTCACCTGTGAGCGCGCTGGCTAGCAGCAGTCGATGCTGCTGAAGGAAATGAGCAGTGAGACCTGCAGAGACCGCTTGGCTAGCACAGGGCAGCAGGACAGCAGACAGGACAGAGACTCAGACACGCCGTCCCCCAGTGGGTTCATACTGAGGTCCAGCTCCTCCAGGCACTTTGAGTGGAAACGAGCAGAAAAAGCAAATGATCACGAGAGCCAATTCTCTCTGACAGATATCATTGATATGAATCAGGTTAGCTTGTTATTAAGATCTAAGGTAGTTATTAAGACCAGAGGTACTTAAATACAGGTTAGATGGTAAACCTGGAGCTGCCACTATTGGCTAGCTGAGGCCCTTACCGGGAATGCAGGTGCACTCTGTCCCTTTAAAGCATTTACAGCCTTCTCCAGGCCGTCCCCTGTAATGCAGTTGGCAGAAATGTCCAGCAGCTGCAGACGAGGCATGTGAGCGTTGTGGCAATCAGCTCAGGGAGAAGGTCGTCAGACATACGGTTTCCAGAAATTCGCAGCTCCGTGAGGCTGGCCTGAAGTTTTAGGGCACGGAGGAGCGGGCTGAGGGAAGAGGCGGCCAAACCGAGACATTTGGAGTCCTGACACGGAGGAACCCCGGTCCCGAACCTCACATAGCCGGGAGACACGCTTGTTCTCATCTACAGGTAGAAAGAGATGGTACTTCATAACAGAATACAAGAATGCACATGTGTCCGTTTTATAATGCATTTCCTCTGTGTTGCTCACCCACTGCTAGACTTTGACAGGCCTTCTTGTATCGCTCAGGGAGAGGAGGGAGATTCCCACGAGCAAACGTCAGCCAGAACCCACAACACAAACCCATCAGTTATCCTGCACTGGTGCGGGAAAGTGAAGCCAAGGATTCAATCCCAAAAACTGATTCCTTCAGTGTCTTCTGGAAGCTGGCTCCAAAAGCAAGTCAGCATCCAGTCTGGTAATAGAAATGGTTCTAATCTTTACAGTTTCTCAGATTGTAGTTTCTCAGGCAGCTTGTTAACATAATCAGCCCTTCACCTTCTTACCAGAATCATACAGTCTAAAACCTGCACGCCTCATCTGGGTAAGAAAGATGAAGTCATTGTGGAAGGACCTAGAACCTCCATTCCTTCTATCAGTGATTTAATGAAAAGACCTCTGTGTCTATGAGAAAGTCTATTTTATGAATTTGGGCCATACTTTGCCTAAGAAAAGGAGTATGCTCACTGGCTGACATGCAAGCTGTTTCACAGTCATAGCCGTCCTCTTGTCACTGTGGGTTGTTTTGTTTTTTTTAAATCCAAGATAGCAACGGTGACAACATTTGTCTTAAACACTCGTGATCAGACTTCATCAACCAATCATGGTAGTCTTCAGCATCTTTTAAATTGTCTGTGGTCCAAGTATGGTCACTTCTGGCTCTCCTCAGTGTCACCTCACCTCTTCATTTGTGTGCAGGACGGCCAGTAGCTGGTCCTGCGGGGAGAGCAGAGCGCCTTCTTTCTGCAGAGAGAGACGAGGCAGGAGGCCACATTTCTGGTAGTAACGCTGAGCTGCCTGCTCACACAGCCACGACACAGAGCAGGAGTTGGCCTCACTGGGATGCAGAGCAATGACCGGCGATTAAACAGAAATTAAAAACAAAACAACAACAACAACAACAAAAAAACACTATACCAATCAGATTGGGATTTATTTTTATGTACTGCTCAAACTTAAAACTTTTCACCGACCTTTGTGGAACTGGGATCAGGAAGACGTCTTCCTGAACCCGGACCCTCATTCTCATTGGTGGAGGAAGTGACGTGGGCATAGGAGCAACCAAAGTTTGAGTTGGAGGCTAGAGTAAACAAAATAAAACATTCAAGCACTGTTAAAACATCTGTATTTAATGTCGTCAACTCTTTGTAGAAAGACAAAGCAGAGTCTGTGGAGGGATCAGAAAGTCTAAACATCAGGAAAGTAAAAGTTTGTCAGGTGATGCTACAAAACACCAAGGTATAACTATATATAAGATCCGAAATGGGCGATGTCATCTTTTACTCCTGGACAAAGCCCACGGCATCCAGGCTGCAGAAATATGTAAAAACAGCTCGCCCGTTTTGATCAGCTCGCGCTCATTTACTTCCACATTCATCACTGTTCAAAATGAATCAGAAATGAAGACACATCATCTTCAAGTTATATCCCCTAGTGACACTGAATTATAGTTATTCTCTCACTGAGTGTGCATTTCCTGAATAATTCATGTGTAGTCTCACTCTGACTATCACCTTTTCACACTTGGAGTGACTTATTCACAATCACTGTGTTGTGTGTATTTCCTTAGTTAGTGTTACTCCATCCGTAACTAACAAACAGCAAAAGAGCATTCCACTTCTGACCTAAGCATGGATAAGGAGAGGTGGGGGCGGTGTGTCTGATCTCCAATCGTCATCATCTGCATCCCCAAGCTGTTCTTTCTCTGAGAGAGGCCTCTACTGGACAGGGAGGAAACTGCAGATCCTGAAAGAAAAAGGGCACAACAAGCTAGAAAAGTGGGAAAAGCACGAAAAAGAAAAACCAAACAAACCCAGTCTAATCTGCAGGCCGTGTCCGAGTTCAAATACTTGTTTTGAATTCCAGCTGCAGAAGATAAGGCAGTTTCCTCTACTCTTGGCCCAGATGAGTGTGGTAAAAAGCAAACTTACAAATCAGATGTCCTTGCAGAGCCTTAACTCCATCCTGTACATCCGATATGGACTGAAGCTGTCTGGTGAGGCTTGCTATGAACACCAGCTGCCTGATAATGTTGATGACCCACTCTTTCTGTGAGCCAGCACAGCCTGTGTGTGTGGAGGGATGTCGGGAAAAAAACAAAACAAAAAAACAATTAGCCTGAATTAGGACTAGTTGTCATCATTTTTTTTCACATAGCCACGGTTTTTTCTATGGTCTGTTTTTGGGCCATTAATGTAGTTTGGTAACAGCATTATGCTTAAAAATGTTCATCTTTTACTGTTACCTGTTGTGGATCACAAAGTTTAAAACTACTTAAAAACACACACAAACACAACAAAGTAACTCCACCATGTGTCTATCCGGTCTTTAAGTGATGACGTGATCAATCCTACTTCTGGGCCCAAACTACTCTGCGTTTAATAAGGCTGTTGTGTTTTTAACATGTTTTAATGCTTTGTAACTTGTTCTATTTAATCTCAACAAGCCCCTTACAAAAAGTAAGTGATCACTGTCGGCCTCTCTCAGTTTTTATTACAACTATTCATTTTAAAGCTCAGTTTTTAAAACCTTACCATGTAACTACAGCCCAGGCAATGCAGCAGCACATTAATGACTAACCTGTATGTGGATGGATTATCTCAGTTGTTCTCTTGACTGAAGTTTGGTCCGTTTACAGCATCCTGCCATGCCACTGCATTTTTCCCTAACCATCGGGAAGCTACGGTGGCCCTGAGAGGCCAAACGGACTGCAACTTCAGAAAACACTTGCAAAACATTAACAGTGCAGTGAATCCTGCTTGTTCCGTAATATTCAGGACTGCAAACCGAGCAGCATCACTGACTTTCAGCCTGTTGTGTTTGTGGATATATGACTGACTTTAATTATCCACAAAATCATCAGATTCTCTGTAAGATTAAGGTCGACTATCTGGCGTATAAAGTAAAGGCTTTAAAACAAAGTAAATGCTGAAAGTACAAACATCGCTAATGTCACATAACTTTGCCGGCATGTGGCCAACAGTAATGTTCTAATGTTCCTCATTATTAAACATTAGCACATAAATAAGTGACATATTATTCAGAACTTACTTTTGAAAGTTTACTCTTTGGCCACTCCACTTCTTTGAAGTGTCTCCCAGTCCCAGTGCACTTGTTAGCATGTTTTGGTTCGTGCAACTGGTGTGTCCGGTTATTGTCTCCCCAGAAACATTTCTGTTGTATTTTTTTCCTATTTCCGTTGTGTTGTGTGTGCTTTTGCAGCGTTTTTCTTTTTGCAGCATTTTTCTTTTTGCAGCGTTTTTCTTTTTGCAGCATTTTTCTTTTTGCAAGTGTTTTTCTTTTTGCAGCATTTTTCTTTTTGCAAGTATTTTCTGAAGTTGCAGTCCGTTTGGCCTCTCAGGGCCACCGTACCTTTGTTTGGCCTGCTAGAATGGTGCCTGGAGGCCACGCCCCCTCCCGTGACATCACGTTCCAAAGCCCTATAGACAATAACACCAAATTTAAAAGAAAGAAGAAGAAAAAAGAATGTTACTGTTACATTTTGTTATGACATCATTATGATGTCATAGTAGTGAATCTATAAGTAGGGGTAAGAATCCCAAACTTTCAGTCAGTTTATTTGCAACACTCAAGATTGCAGCATTCAAAGGTAAACCTGAGAAACATTTTAAAACAGTTGAACCTTTAACACAGTCACTTCATCAACACTCTAACATGTCTCAGAGTAAACACGGCAAAAGTCAACAAGCTTACGCTGGCTTTACTACAATGGACCACCAAAATCCAGAGCCAAATTCTGAAGAAACACATTTCCAGCTTCCACTCAAGAGGAAGCGAGGCCCGGATTATGCTGCACAGAATTGCAGAAGTCCCGACAGCTGCTCTCCACCAAGGAAAAAGAGACGAATCTGTGAAGAAAAAACCGTGTTGAAAAGACGATACAGTCAGATTTCAAAAGGCAGCAAAAACAACTCTGAGAGCTACTCTCCAGAGAGAAAGAGGATGAGAATAGACACTGAGAAAAAAGAAACAGCAGTGACTCCGAGCATCCAAAAAGGTTCTTCTTCAAGGACTATCCAACTCCAAGTTCAGAAAAAGAACAATATGAACTTGAGTGATACCAAAACCTCTCAAAACACACCAAAAGACAACAAGAGTCCAGAACAAGCAGCAGTGACACAGAGCATCCAGAAAAGTTCTTCGTCAAGGACTATCCAACACGTAGTTGAGAAAATGGACGTTACGACCTCGAGTGATACCATAACCTCTGAAAACACTCCAAAATACAACAAGAGTCCAGAACAAGCAGCAGTGACACAGAGCATCCAGAAAAGTTCTTTGTCAAGGAATATCCGACACGTAGTTGAGAAAATTAACGTTACGACCTCGAGTGATACCATAACCTCTGAAAACACTCCAAAATACAACCAGAGGCCAGAACAAGCAGCAGTGACACAGAGCATCCAGAAAAGTTCTTTGTCAAGGAATATCCGACACGTAGTTGAGAAAATTAACGTTACGACCTCGAGTGATACCATAACCTCTGAAAACACTCCAAAATACAACAAGAGTCCAGAACAAGCAGCAGTGACACAGAGCATCCAGAAAAGTTATGCGCCAAGGACTTTCCAACAACTAGTTGAGAAAATGGACGTTACGACCTCGAGTGATACCATAACCTCTGAAAACACTCCAAAATACAACAAGAGGCCAGAACAAGCAGCAGTGACACAGAGCATCCAGAAAAGTTCTTCGTCAAGGACTATCCAACACGTAGTTGAGAAAATGGACAATATGACCTTGAGTGATACCAAAACCTCTGAAAACACACTGAAAGACAACAAGAGGCCAGAACAAGCAGCAGTGACACAGAGCATCCAGAAAAGTTCTTCGTCAAGGACTATCCAACACGTAGTTGAGAAAATGGACAATATGACCTTGAGTGATACCAAAACCTCTGAAAACACACTGAAAGACAACAAGAGGCCAGAACAAGCAGCAGTGACACAGAGCATCCAGAAAAGTTCTTCGTCAAGGACTATCCAACACGTAGTTGAGAAAATGGACAATATGACCTTGAGTGATACCAAAACCTCTGAAAACACACTGAAAGACAACAAGAGGCCAGAACAAGCAGCAGTGACACAGAGCATCCGAAAAAGTTTTCCGCCAAAGAATATCCAACACGTAGTTAAATCAATGAACGATATGACCTTGGGTGATACCAAAACCTCTGAAAACACACCAAAAGACAACAAGAGGCCAGAACAAGCAGTAGTGACACAGAGCATCCAAAAAAGTCCCTGGTCCAGGACTATCCGACTCCCAGGTCAGAAAACAAACGATACGGCCTTGAGCGATACCAACACCTGTGAAAACACACCGAAAAAGAAAGAGAGCCCAGAAGACCAGAGAGAAACAAACGTGTGGATCATTGGGTCCAGTTACATTAGACGAGCCAAGGGTGAAGCAAAAGAGATTTTCGGAGAAAATTTCGGACTTAATACCAAAGTCCAGTGGTTTGGCAAACGAGGAATGCGCTGGGGGGGAGTCCTTCCTTGTTTTTATAAGGAGCTATCCACACAGAGCCCACCTGACATACTGGTAATCCATGCTGGGGGCAATGATTTGGGACTCTTTTCTGCTTATGAACTTTCTTCTGTCATTGAGAAGGAATTGATGCAATTGCACACAGAGTTCCCCTCAATGACAATTGCATATTCATCCATCAATGAGCGTCAAGTGTGGATATATGGAAATCCAGGCGAAATCAATAAGGACAGGAAGACTGTGAATGCCAGCATTAGAAAGGCTGTCGACCGCTTCGATGGAGTGATTATTGAGCATCCGCACATCAGGTTTTTTGACAACTCCATTTTTTTACACAACGGAGTTCGTTTCTCCAAGAAAGGAAATGAACTGTTTCTGACAAGCATCCGCACGGCCATCCAGAAAAGTCTTCAGTCACGTCACTGAAAACTGACTTGAGACATTTCTTTCACAGTCCAGAAAACCATACGTTGTTCATTTTAGGCAATGTGAGCAACATATAGCTAACGTGTGCTCTCTTTTTTCTTTTCCTCTGCCTCTCACCCCCCAACCAGTCATGACAGATGGCTGCCCCTTTCTTAGCCTGGTTCTGTCAAAGGTTTCTCCCTTTTTATAAGGGAGTTTTTCCTTTCCACCGTTGCCCAGCGCTTGCTATTAAAGGAGATCATTCGATTGTTGGGGTTGATAGTTTAGAATCTAAACTAAACTAATAAACATAAAACATCAGGTGAGGGGTTCACATAGCATGGAGCACTACAAAAATTACAAATAAAAACATGTAATTGGTGGCAAATCAAAAATAAAATAAAAAAAATTGAAAAATATCTCTTACTGCTCTGTTTATTTCCTTAAATGAACACTTGTACTTTTTGTCATAGAAGAATAAGAATATTAATATAAATATGAACACCAAGGCGTTCCCAGGCCAGCCGAGAGATATAATCTCTCCAGCCTGTCTTGGGTCTGCCCCGGGGCCAAATGCCTGGTGGCACCCTTGCCTCCATGGGCACCTTAACTCATCACTTTTGGCGCAGAGAATGTATTTTATGAACTAATATTAGTAGGCTGAAGCCTTTTATTTGAGCTGTGATTGTTTTTGTTATTAAGATACATATTAATATGTTTTTTTAAGGATCAAGATGTGGGTTTGTTTTTCCAGCTTTGTTAACAGTTGTTTTTTCAGAGATCAGATGTCCTCACAGGACAACATATACAAAAATATGATTTTACAGAATATGATGCATTGGTGTGGATTAAACAGTGTAATAGTTTTGATATTTACCTTAAAGAGCAGTAACCTTAATCAATATTGCACAGATAGAGAAAATCAGCAAAGTTATTGGCTTTAGTTTTGATATTTTGCCAGTAAAACAGTTTTATGTCTCCTGAGGTCTTTTCATTGTTTTATTGTTTCTTTTGCTAAAGAAAAATATCCCTGCCATTCCTCATTGTTAGCTAATCATGAATCCATCACTGGATCACACCCAATTGCTAGCACAATAATCATGTTTAAGGTTGTGAGCTGGTGTCTGATTTGTGTTTTCGTTAA